CAGGCCAGTCTAGTCTCAAGTTGATCAGCAAGAGGACACAGCCCCACATGCTGCAGGGATCCTTGTCACTTGTCAGCCACCAGCCCGAAGTACATCAACACCATTCCTTGGAGGGCCTCCCCGACAGGCACTGCGACCTGTGGAGCTGGCTGTGCCCCAATGCCCGCTAGACTCCATGTTCTGCATTTAGCCGGGGCTCTCAGAGGAGGCCACGGAACCAGAGTGGTGGAAAGAACCATGGCCTTGCTAATGGGTTTCCTGCCAGAGCTACCTCATCCTCTGGGGGCCTCGGAGGAGGACTTACATCCTCTTAGGCCTTAGTTTTCTCGTCTGTCTCATGAGGGGAGTAGCTCTGAACCCTTACAGGATCCTGGGAAGACAGGGCAACACAGGTGCAAGAGTTCACTGCCCTCTTCTCCAGCACCGGGGGGTGCTGGGAGGGAAGCATCACATTCAGACTCCTCCCTTGATTTTTACTTGTGGGCTCGTCCTCTGTGCTCCTCCACACCAGGTGAACAGAGGCAAAGGGGCTGGTGGCAGAGTGAGTGGCGCAGGGAAGAAGCTGGCAGGTAATCCATGGATAACTTTTCAGAGGTTACAGTCCAGGAATGTTTTCTCTGACCAACACAGGCATGAGGGAAGACACTTCTGTGGGGCTTGCCTGCTCTTGACTCTCCTGAGGCATGCCTGGCTGGTCCCAGCAGCCTGAATATACCCGAGCCAGACTTTGGCAAGCTCCCTAGGGTATTCTAGGGCATCTCTCAACCACCCACCCCTCCAAGAGGCGAGGAAGATACAGGCTCAAGCCAGAACTGGGCAGGGAGGGAGTAGGGGCAGAAGCTCAGAGGGCCCACCCACATAGGAGCCAGAGAGGGTCTTTTTGCTGCAGCCTCTCAGAAGGCCCAGGCAGCTGCGCCCACACCCAGGCTATGGGCTCGCTCCTGGCCTCCTTGGAAGCACGTGCATCATTGCAAGCCCTGCTCCGGCACTTGTCCCATTGTGCTCGCTCACATCCTCGCTACAGTGGGCGGCCCACTGCAACCTGACCACACAGGCCCATGCCTGGTCCAGCCTCTGGCTGCCTCCCGCCCCAGGGGAAGCTTTGCCCAGGCTCCCAGGATAGGTTGGTGTCTCTGCTGGCTGCTTCCCTGAGAAGGGGCCATGAAAGCAGCCCCCGCCCCCCATCCCTGGACACTGGTTGTAGCCTCCTCCAGGCCTGTGCAGGCTCAGAGATGGCCCTAAATGCCTGTCAAGCAGCCACGCAGGGTTCCCAGGCCCCAGAACACCACCTCTCAGGAGCTCATCAGCACTCTGGTACTTCAGTTACCTCAACGTGCTTTAAAAAAGTAAGCACCTCATAGGGTTGCTTTTAGGAACGAGTGGCTTTAGGAAAATGAAGAGGCACAACAGTGAGTGCTCTGGAAGCTCCCTCCTGAGTTTCGCCTTTCCTCCTTGCAGAAGCCTAGAATCTGAGCCCCCAGATCAATGCCAGCTGGTGAGAGGTTATGATCCTGCGTCTGCATGTCCCCACAGCTGGAGGTCACTGGAGAAGGGTTTGTCCCTGGGTCAGGAGCATGACGTCACCGTTATGAGCAGGGGAGGACAGCATGGAAATAGTCACAGCAGCATTAGCTCCATGCTGGCTCACTGGAGAAGACTATCATTTGGGAGAGGCTGGCTGTGAAGGTTCTGCCGAATTTATCCTGTTTCCCTACAGTGCTCTCTGACACTCCCCCCCCACCCCCAGCTTTACCACTGAAAAATAGCCCAGCCCCAGACGAGGCTCTGTTGTCAGGCTGGGGAAGGCATTTATAATTCAGCACAGCAGCACTGAGCCAGCTGGAAAAGGCACCATTAGTCTATGTTCCACGCTAATAAATTAACATCAAAGTCATTCTTCTGGTGAGCCCGACGTTGGAATGATCATATCTGAGAACGATTCCAGCAACACAAACAGACAGGGGGTCTCATGGGGGCAGGGTCCCTCCAAGGAGAAAAGGGGGAGGGGGCCGGGACAGCTGCAGACTGGGTCCCTCTGAGGAGAGTGTGCGGGCGGAAGCATGTATACGTAAAGATTTAAATAAACAGGATGCATCACTATGGAGACATTCAGCTTTTTCAAAGGCATCATTTAAGAAAAATAGTCATGACTTGGGATTCAACACTTCAAGTGTTTATGACCAGAAAAGGCAAAGTGGGTCTTAGATACTCGGCAGCCAAGTGAAAGCCGCCAGAAGAAGGATCCCCAGCAGGGCAGGGACCCATCTTCTGTCAGGGTTTTCTCTGAAACCTTCCAACTGGAGCCTTCTGCTCGGCACAGCACCCACGTAACTTGTCTGGGGTTGCAGCGACACAATCCAGGAGACTGTACCGCACACTGACCCAGCACGACAGACCTGTCCCACCCCGGGGAGGGCTCAGACAGGTCGTGAGCAGCAGAAGCAAGTGCCATGAGGAAAGGGCATGCTGATGAGCTGTGATCCTGAGAGGTCTAATCAATCATGACAACAGGGGGCCCTGATATCAATGCTGGGGGTACAAATTTGATGTGAGGTGCCACCTGGCTCTGACCTGTGCTTGGAGACCAGCTGCCTAACCAGGCATTTTTAGTGTGCAGTCTGCCCTATTGCTGTGGGCTGGCTGCTGACTGGAGCTGCGATGCTGGGCAGGGTCGCAAAGATGTCTGATGCTGAGTCTGGGTGTCATTCAGAGTCTAAAAGCCTGTTTGGACGGACAGGAAACACTGTTGAATCACTTACCAGGAAGGTTGGGCCAGAATTGGTGTCACTCACAGAAATTGGATGGTCTCCTCCAAACAAGCTTCCCCTTTTCAACAGTCACTACTAGTCCAGTTGGCAGTAGGGTTTCTGATGAAGAAATGCTAGCGCTGGCTAAGGAGAGATGAGGTGCAGATGCCTGGCCTGAGGCTCAGAAGAGCCAGGACACAGCGCCGATCAGTGTGGACTTGGGGTGAGCTGGGTGGCCAGAGCTGCAGAAGGGGACCTGAGACTCAGGGCCCCAGGAATTCCCTAGACTATTCCACCTCAATTCAGCAAGCAGAGGAGAGGAAGTACACAAGCTCAGGGTTTAGCCTTTGAACTGCTGGTTTACCACTGTGAGTGCTTCTAAATTATTTACACCTCTAAGAGACTTGGCTACCCAGTCTCTAAAATGGGAACAGAATCATCTTTCTTGTAGACAAACAAAAAAAGAAAAAACGGTAGGGCAACGCAGGTACTGAATGCTAAAAAAAAGCGGGCGGGGGGGGCAGCTAAGAAAAACCTCAATCCATTTTCCTTCATGCAATAGCCACTGTATTTGCTTCCTCTGCTTTACAACTAATTGGCAAAAAGAGCTTTGCCCCCAACTCCTAGTTAAGCTCCAGCACCAGTAAAACACAGGGGTAGGGGGTGCGGCCGCTGAGCGTGGCCATCCTCTGCCCACATCGGGAAATCCTGGCCATTCCTAAACCCTGTAGTTTACTCCATGGCAAGGACCTGCTTGACGACTCAGAAGGTATATTATCTTTATGGTGGGAAAAATGGCAGCTCTGCCATTGGACAGCAGGAGACAAAACCTAAGATAGCCACTGCAGACGAAGAGCCCAGGTGGCGGCCCGGGCTGTGCGCTGCGGAGTAGGAATGTTTCCCCACAGGCATGGCAGCGATGAGTGAAGAGATCCAATCTGCGGCTGACACAGGGGAGAGCGTGACCCCACATTAGGAGGGGCGCTGCCAGACTCGGAACCATCTGCCACTCCTTTCACTCATGGGAAGGGGAGAGGCATTTCCCAGTGTCATGCGCTGAACTCTAAAGCAAAGCTGGCTACACCACCCTGGCCAGGTTTTGTTTGTTTTAATAAGACAAAAGCTAGAAGTTAAACAGAGGTTTTCTTTTTATGGTGTTGTGTACCTTCCTCACAGAAAGGCTTGATATGATGTTCAGTTAGTGCTCGCAGAGAAACGCATCATGCACGCACAGCAGTGCTGGGGGCACACTCCAATGCAAGGGGCGGGGGCTGGTCAACAACAGAACCTGGCTGGGAGGCTTCCGTCCCAGTGCTGGGGAAGGGCCTGCCCGCCGTCGGGTTTCAGTGCCATCATGCGGGTCACCAGTCTACAGTGCCAAGTGGAAACCAGGTCAAGAGCAAGTAGGCTCTGAAAATTTCCCCCATCGGCAACTAGGGCAACTAACTCTCCGCCCTATTTTCATCCACCGAAATCTACTTTCTTTCTCTCGGGTTTCCCATATCTCGGTTGGAGTTAAGTCAAGAGGTCAAGAAAGACACATGTTTTGATGATGCAATAAGAGGCATCCACTCTGTTCTGTTTTGGGAACCTTGGTGACATCATGGGCTGACCCTTGAATCTCAGGAAGAAAACACTGAGTCACAAGGAAGCCTTACTCATCGGGCCTCTGAAATCTGAAGTGAAGAGAATGATTAGGTAACTGATCTGCTCCCTGAAGGCCTGCTCCCTTCTATCTGCCGTGGGTTTAAATGACTCAAGTCATCCTCCAGAAGAAGCTAATCTATGTGGGACAGGTGTCACCAGCAGGGCATTTGTTGCTCTTCAGCCTAAGTGTCAGCCTCGTTCTCATGACATCACTGTCATTCATCCCTCAAAGGGAACAGTTTTCTTCGGTACTACAGTACTTCAGGTGACTTCTTGAAGATGGCTGCATTAGAAAACACTGCCGTCCCCCTGTATCCAGCACCCGCAACCTGTTCAGTGTGTCCTGAGAAGACTGACAGGCCAGGAGACTCAGTTAAACAAAGTGCTCCAGGAATCCGCAGCTTTCCATTACAACAGCCCCGGCCGGGACATGGAGGAATCAAGGCCAACTTAGCAAAGCTGTGAAACTACCTCTGTTTGGGTTTCAGCAGCTGTCTGCCTACAGAAGGCTCCAGAGCCACTGACACATATTTATATTTCCACTTCACTAAAGTCACAAGGAACAAACACGTGCGGATTTACCCCAGAGGCAAAGTCCATTCATATTTCTTCCAATGAAGTGGAGGGGGGAGAAGGGGAAAAAAACTGCTTATGGACAAAATTATCTGCGAGTCCAGCCACAGGAGTTTTTAATTTGTCTCAAGAAAACATGTGATTTCAAGATGTGATTAGGGATTACTGTTCCCACAGCAAACACATCATGGACATGAACTGGGGGCTGTCATTTCACAGGACTCTGAGCTGGGAAGCAAATCCCACCCCTGTCTTCCAAACAGCCACACTGCGAGATCAGCTGCTCCAGCCTCGGGAAGTTTCTTCACGGTAGAAGGTTTGCTCCGACTCAGCACGGCTTTCCTCTCAGAGATCACGCATCACCAGTGCGCGCCTGCAGGGTCTGGATACACTGTTCGAAAGGTCAGATTTATTCTCGGTTCTCTAGAGTGGTACTCTTTGGGCACTCGATGCTAAATGGAAATACAAATAACTAAATACGTACATATTTTTACTTCAACACGACTTAAAACCTACTTATGACAACATCGACATATTTCCACATTAACCCCCCTCAGCAAGCAGCAATCAGCGTTTCAAGTGCTGAGTGAGTCTCCTTTTCTGCAGCGAACCCTGCCCCGCCCTCAATACGACCTGCCAGCAGTCTCGCAGCAAGTTATTTTCATCTTTCCTAATTTGTGCTCTTCCTTCTCGGTCTCTTGCCATTTTTCTAAATCTCATAAGACACATAATGGTTGAGACCAAAGAGAGACATGAGATTCCACTCTCCGCCTCAATGTCCTCATCTTGATCGGCGCACTTTCAGAATGGCCTGGCTTAGGCTGTGGAGCGCTGTGGTTCCATATGACAGCCACTGGCTATCTGAAGCCACTGAAATGAATGAGAATTAAGCTAACGCTTGAGTTCTTTAGCACATTAGCCATGTTTCAAGAGATCAATAGTCGCATATGTCAAATGACTACTGCACTGGGCTGCACAGCTATAGTGTATTTCCACCACCACAGAAAGTTCTACTGAACGACACTGCTGCGGAGGTCCATTTTGATTGTCAGTAGTAGCAGAACTCCTTGGAAATGATGTCACTCTATTGCCTCTTGCTCGTTATAAAAGCAACTTACTTTTCACATTTACTACAGTAACTAGCAGTCGGGAAGCGGCCTCCGCTTGAGAGAGGGTCCATGCTGCTTGCGTGCTCTCACCTGCCAGTCAGCCTGTGTAGCTCCTTCCATGATTAACAAGGTCCCGTGATCCAAGGGAATCTTCACTCTTTCCACATAGGTGTAGTCTCCGTCCTCTTCCTAGAAAATAGTATTCATCGCACTGAATATATGCCTGTGAGGTCAAGACGCCACAGAGGGGGCCCTGGCTGAGGTGAACAGCTCCCCTCAGCGGACTGCGCAAGGTCACCATCGCTGTTGCCGGGCCGCTGTCTGGCTATAGGCAAGTTATTCACCTCTCTGGGTCGTCATACTCGCTTGTGAATTGGGGATGATGACAGTGCCTGTCACACAGGGCTGCTGAGCACCTCAAGTGATATCAAGTGTGTAAATTCCTTGGCCACTGGCACATAGTAAGTATGGAATAAGTGTTAGCTATAGTTAATATAATCAGCACCCAAAATGCAGAAAAACCCATCCTGAACTATGAAGGAATGAGTCACTTACACTTAAAGAACCTTTTACTTCAATGCTTTCTTCTGTGATTTGACATAGTCAGTGGGGAGAAAATGGGCTTTTTATTTATTTATTTATTTTTATTTTACATTTTTTTTTTTTTAGAGAGGTATGTTTTTATTTTTTATTTTATTTATTTATTTGTTTGTTTTTTGTTTATACATGCACTGGGTACAGTCAGAAGCGCGGGAGGGTGAGAGAATTCACCAGAGCCAGAGCGGGGAGCAGAACAGGCAGAAGGACCGCGGTACACTGTTGAGGGGAGCAGCGGGCCGCAGGAGAGGTCTGCGCGCCATGTGGGACCCTCCTCTGGTGGCCGGGGAGCAGCCGGGGATCCAACCGGCGCCGCAGAGGCCGCGGGCAGCTTCGCAACCCAGCGCTCAACCGCTGCGCCACCGGGGAGGGAAAATGGGCTTTTTAAACAAGACATGCTGTGATGGGTTCTGACCAACATTTTCACAAGTTAACTAATTCACTAATTGCCTGTGTTGAAAACAGCCAACACTCTTTGGATAGCTACTTTGGTGTTCTGGAGACATAATCGTGTTTCTTTCCAGAATAATCAAGAGCAAGATCTTCTCATAGGAGGGAGATCCGGTTTGACGAGAACAGTGTTGCCAAAATGAGACTGGCTGCTAAGGTTTGGAGAAAGGATCCTAATTCCTGAACACCTGGGTACTCACGCCGCCCCTTTCTTCCAAAGAACCCAGTCAAGTCATGTCCGGTACATAACAACGCTTCACAGCAGCCTACGAAGCAGCCAACAGGTGGTGTCACTCTTCTCCACGGCTGACAAAGGGTTGCATTAAACAACTTCTCTGCTCACAGCAACAAAGAGCATGTCAAGAGTTGAGGCTGGGACAACCCCGGGCTTCCTGTCTGCACTCCCTCCATCCTGGCAGATCCATCTATTCATCTGCTTCACTTCCGACGCAGGAGATTACATTCGGGTTACAACAGGATTGATTCCACCGCAATCCTGTATTTATGTTTATATCGTAGGAGTACTTCTTAGAACATAACTGTTTACAGTGATTTCCCCCAGGAAAATCAAAATCAAAACAATAATGAACTTGCATAAACAGTCTAAGTTCTAGACCCCACCCCTTGGCAGTGACTTTGTCAAGCACAGTTATAACTTTTACAGACAGAAGACAGAAGCAATGTTTGAAATAACTTTAGTTTCGGTGACTGATTTTGATTGACTGCCACTGCTTCCCTTCCAGGATTAAGTAAGCACCAAAACATTTATCTCTGACCCCTCAGGCAACCAGAAAGCAGTGTGAAGGAGATCCTGCCCTCGGGTGGCTCCGTTCCATTTCAGAAAAGCAAAAGGTTGCTCCCTGAGACAAGCACTGCAGACAGAGGAAATGTCTTTCTGGAGAAAAGCTATCAGAATGGAACATGTGGTTCATTAGATTAGAGGGCCCACGGTCCCTTGATTCAGGTCAAGGTTCAAGAAAGCCAGAAGTAGCAACCGCAGCTGTCTGCACAGCCAGGGCGTGCCCAGGGCCGCCACCTACAAATGAAGTGCAGACACAAGACGGGAGAGTGGGATGAGCAGAGAGGAAAGACACGGCAGCAGAACGTGAAAACCAACCTGAGATGAGGAGCTCGGGGAATGCTAAAAGCATCGTTGTAGGGGAGGGGCAGATGGCCGAGGGAGAGGGAGAGGCGCCACTGGTTCTGCGTGAAGACATAATGCAGGCAGAGGCCTAGCAGGTGGGAGAGAATTCAACACAAGATGGGGACACTGATGGAAAGTGATGTCAGCACATCCACATTGCCTTAAGCGTCCTAAGGCCTGAGAGTGCATCTCAGGTTGTTTTCAACACATGACTTCCCACAGAACCATTAGCTGTACCCAGAAGCAGAAGAGGGTGCATCCTCACCTGGGAGGGAGCTCCTTGCAGCTGTCCTGAAGGAGACAGCCACACAGTACACCCACCACAGTACACCCAGCAGGCATGTCATGACTTTGCTGCTTATTACTTGTTCCTTTTCAACACCCATGGCTTAGAAAATGCATTACTAATTTCCAGGAGAGAAGACAGAAAAGAGGGCAAGGGATTCCACCCAGGCAGCGCAGAGTTGACAAACACTGCTGCTTCTCGAGGCCCACACACCGCAGTGCCTTTAACTTCACCGAGAAGTGTAGAGACTTGTTCCTGCTCAGGAAGCAGATAAAAGGCCGGAGGCGCTCACGGGCTGTGAGTAACAGCTCCGGTGTGATAAATGGACGAGCAGCAGCGGAAGCACAGCCAGACAGTTTAGAGGAGCGCACTCACAGCCACACGGCTAAGTGAGCAAAACACGTCTCTCTCGTCTTTCACTCAGGTCTTTCTTCAAAACAAAACAAAAGACACCCTTAAAAAAAAAAAAAAAAAAAAAAAAAACATGGCTTAGGATAAAAATTGCCATCCTTGATCCCAGTTAAAAGAGAAGTTTTGAGGGTCATCCTCAGTCTTCGGGTGGGTTTTGTTGTTGTTTTTGGTTTCCACATACTTGAAAACCATACCAATAGACGGAAAAAGCAAAAAATATTTTATGTTAATAATGATCAACATTTTCACTCCCTCCCTAACCACTGCCGGTTCAACTGAATGCTGAATGGTTTCGAAGGAATTCAGGGGCCAAAGTACCACTGTTCCACCTCCACCTAACCCAGAGAAGAGCTGACTCAGTTTCCTTTAAAAAGTGCTATTTTGAAAAAAAGTTTGGAAAATTTATCACTATGTCATTACTAACCATCCAACAGACAGGAAACAAGCAGTTTTCAAGGAACGGTATCCTCACATTATATGACATCCAAGCAGATATTTCATATAGTCCCTCCCTCCTTGTCCTCAAAAGGTGTCTTAGAAATTACTATCAACCACCAATGCTTGAAAATCATAACATAATTTCACTGGTTTAAAAACATACTTGTAATCATTTGTGCAATGTCTGCTTTCAACTACCCTCTCATAAACTCTAAGACAGGAGGACTATATTGTTTTGCATTTTAGAACTAGGTCACATATACTGATAATTAACTATGTGTTGAATAACTGAAGGAAAGACCAAGACAATGTGAAAGTCACCTTTCATTCTACCACGCAGAATTCATCCAGCACACACAGAGGGCTATTCACATATACAAACGTGTACTCCAAATTTTAACACTAAATTGTGAGCATTTTACTACATCTTAAATATACATTATTTTAATAATAAGGTTTTAGACTATTCCTTTGTATGAACAGATCCTTCCTTCTTTAAACACAAATATTTTCTGACCACCATATGTGTCAGGCACACTGCTAGTGCTCAGGACACAGGGCAAAGCAGTGAAGTAACACTGCTAACCAAAAAAAAAAAAAAAAAAGGTAGTGCAAGTAGATCTCAGACAAAACGCTTCTGAATGTAGTAAGATATATTCTTAAAAATAGAATCACTGGATCCACGGGTATGAACTATAAGGCACTTTGACTCGCACTAGCAAATTGCTTTCTTAAGAAGGTTGTGGCAATTTATCATTCTATCAGGGAAATATGACAACACTTATCTCTGGTCCCATCACCAATACTCAATGTTGTCAATGACTGAAAGAAAAATTTAGGGGAGAAATGGCATCTCATTAGTCAAACTTATAATTTTTTAATTACTAGTCCATTTCAACCTTTTTTCACCTGCCCCTTTGCTGTTTTGCATTTCTCCTGCTGGGAACTCTGTTCATGCTCTTTGTCTACTGTTCTACAGGGTGTTAATCATTTTCTTAATGATCTGTAATAACAGATAGTAAGGCATTTTCCCTTTGTCACACTTTCTGAAAATATTTTTCCCATTTAGTATTTGTCTTTTAACTGTGTTTATGATATTTAACATAGATAGCTAGAAAGTTCTTGGAGTCAATGCTACTGACCTTTCTTTGGCTCCCCTTCATGGTTTTTATGCTTAGAAAGTCTTTTCCCATCCTGAGGAAAGTTAAATATACAACTACATTTCCTTTCAGTTGAAAAAAAAAAGAGTTTACATTTTTAGATTTAATTTAACTCTTTCATCCACCTAGCGCTGGCTTTTTTCCCCCTCAGGCTTCTTTTTATCGCAATTTTCATGCATATACCATGGAGTTTATTTTTTAATATCAGTTTTTTCAATTGCAGTTATTGTCTTTTTTTTTTTTTTTTTAGATTTTTATTTATTTATACAAGAACTGGGGTATAGGCCAGAGCCACAGGAGGGTGAGAGAATTCACCAGAGGCAGAGTGGGGAGCAGAACAGGCAGAAGGACCGAAGACACTGCTGAGGGGAGCAGCGGGAGAGGTCTGCCACGCCATGTGGGTTTCTCTCTGGCAGGCTGGGAGTTGAACCCATGCTGCAGAGGCTGCGGATAGCTTCACAGCAAGGCGCTCAACCCACTGCACCACCCGGGAGGCCCTACCATGGAGTCCAGTTAAACCTTTAAACACAATCAACCACAAGCACCTGCTCAGGAGCTAGGTGCATCAGGTACCATATACACATGCTGTCAGTATTCACTAAACCCAGGAAAGGAAGTGTGGGTTTTCACTGTATTGGAAGCAAAAGGAGCAGGAGGGAATGTATGTTTCTCAGTCAAAAGGCTGGCAGGAGGCAGGCAGGGC